AGCGCTCGGGTTATACGAAACAGCACTCGACATCATGAAAAAAATTCTTCCTCTGAATCATCTCAACTTCGCTACTTCCTACAACAACATCGGTTCGGTATACCATAACACATGTGAGTATTCAAAAGCACTTTTATTTTACGAAAAAGCACTTGATATCAAAGAAAAAACTCTCCCTTCGATACATTCCGACTTGGCTACTTCCTACAACAATATCGGGTTGATGTATGATAATATGGGCGAGTATTCGAAAGCACTTTCATTTTACGAAACCGCACTCGACATCAAGGAAAAAACTCTCCCTTCCAACCATCCTTCATTAGCTATTTCCTATAACAACATTGGTTTGGTATATGATAGTAAAGGCGAGTATTCGAAAGCACTTTCATTTTACAGAAAAGCTCTCGATATCTGGCAAAAATCTCTCCCGCCAACGCATCCAAATATTGCAATATCGAAAAGAAACATTGAACTTGGAAAACGAAATTGTAAGTTCTTTTTTGCTACAAGAAATAAATTTCGTTCAACGTTTCCTTTTATTGGTTATGAACTTGTTTTCCTACAGAATATTGATATTTATGAGTGCGATGAGAGAGATGCCGAATCCTCTTGGGATAGTGCAGTGAAGGATGCTGGCTATGATCGAGCAGCCATACATATATGTGTGCCGTACGTACGAGACGACGACAGGGACACGGACGCGTGTCAAAGGTATCTGCATGTGGTAGTGCCTATATAAACTTCAAGTGTTTAAAAACACCATTTATTCTTGACATCATTACTGTCAGAGAATACATTTGAATCAAAATATTGTTCTTAGTTAGATACACAGGAAGAAAAAGAAAACATCCTACTTTCAATGAGAAATAAATCTAACACATAATTTAAAATACTAGAGACTTTGTTATTTCTAATTTATTTGATTGAATAACTTATTTTCTATTAATATGATATAATAGAATTTCATTATCTTTAGTAACATAAATATTTCTAATTGGCTAATATCAAGAAGAATACAGCTCTGAATTTTTTTGAAACATAAGTAGAAACCATTTAAAAACTTGTATTGATAATAATGGGCTTTCTTTCCAAAGTGGGTGTAGGATGAGTGTGGGTATGGGTGTTCACTTATTTTTACACTCACATCCACTCACACCCACACCCTTAACTATCTACGCTTATATCGAGCATATTTAAGATAAAATTGATGTTAAGTATCGCGATCACCGTCATTCTAGATCCAGAAGCACAAAAAAAAAGAATTTAATTAACTTTTAGCTTATCTTAGCTGTACGGAAAACGATAAAAATAGCAGGCATATACGAGAGTTATAACAAATATGTTGCTTACTAAATCAAATTTAATCAATTTTTTTCTGCTTTCGACTAGTTCTTGTGGATGCACGTTTCCACATCGATTTTTCTGTCCACGATTTAGTTAGGTATTTTATATCGAAAAGTTTTGTGTTGATTAAAAAATTGTGTTATTTTGCTCACCATTAAGGAACGATCGCCCTCATTTATTTTTCAATTTTCAATCTTCTCCGATTTTTTTCCTCAAAATCTTTTAATGATTTTTATAGATCGCAGAGTTCTGTACAAGATGCGTTTCTTAAAATTTTTCTCGATCTGCTACCATTTTAAAAAAAAGGAATATTAATTTGAAAAACTTGATAAAAAATCTATAACAAATGTTTTCATTCATCTTGACAGTATCACTTGCATGAGCTGTTGCTTAAAACCTAATGGTAAAATAGTGCTAGAGCTATAAGCGAAACAATTGAGATACCTTTCGATTTTTCAGTCTCTTTGATGTTTCGATAGTTGCAAATTCCATCAAACTCAATCTTAGAACCCAACACAATTCTTCATTATCATTGTTTTCTATAAGGGATTGATTGATGCGCTAATGTAAAGCGTTCCATAAACATATTAAGTAATAAGGTACTTAACTCTTCTTTAAATTTAGTTCTCTAAATTTATCAACAGGAAACCCAATACAATATGCTAAAGAGATGAGCATAGCATATGGTTATTTGACTGTCCTAGTATTCTGTTCTCCTCTGAAGGAAAAGTGATTCGAAGATAGGACAAGATGCACACAATCTAGTCCTGTACTTTTATGTAGTTTTTTTTCCACAGTGTTCGTATAGCATAATATCTATTCTATTCGGTGATACGTGATACTCGCGATAGGTTGTAGGTGTCACTAATCAGATGACGAACAGCGCTAATCTCAGCATTGGTGGATAAAATTATCAAATCACGAACATAAAATATTCAACAGGAGAAGAATTATAAATAAATAACCAACACAAATCGATTGTTAGGTATACACTCGTGCTCCAACAGATTACTCGTTTTTTTTCTTAACTCTCTATTTTTGTTCAATTTTGTTCCAAGATTTCTGACATATTCAAAATACGGTGCTACATGGATTTAATTGGCATCCGAGATGAGCATCGAAGAGAACGGGGCAGCCGTCCTGTCCTAGGAGACAGAAGAGGACAGAACAAACAAAGTTTTCCTGTACTCATTTCTAGTCCACCATATTCGTCAACAGTTTCTTCGAATACTTATTATCGAAGATCACGTCCAATGCCATCAATTACTACAGCAAATGTTACATCATTAACAAAAGCTATTGAATCAGGTAGTATGAATATGTCAAAAGGAAATTATAATCCAATACGATCATCGAGTCGTAATATTCAACCATCACCTGAACGACCAATAAAAGCCAGTGTAAAAACTATACAACGAACTAGATTACCAAGTCAAGATCGATCAGAAAGTTTTAATCAAATAAATGTTTCTTTTTAATCAAAGTTTTTTTTTTGGTTTTTAGAATTTGATAAAAACTAATGTTGCAAATAATTATACTGTAGAACATGTATCAAATCCAACAGTTACTGTTTATAGTATAGCATCTGTACCTCAATCAACGCATTATAAAAATAATGAGTCTACAATTTCAGAAACTTCAATAGATGAATCAAGATTAATCAACGGTGGTTTATGTGGTCTTCAGAATTTAGGAAATACTGTAAAATCTTGAAAATATATCTTTAAAAAAAATACAGTACTTATTGATTTTTAGTGTTTTATGAATTCGGTGCTTCAATGTTTGTCAAATACAAAACCACTTTTATTATTTTGTTTACAAAATAATCTTGAGAATTACTTGAATACATCAACCACAAGTGTAATGAAAGGAGCTTTAATGCAAGGTTTGAAAACATAAAAACAATAATTTGTTTTGTATCTTAAAATTTTACATGAATTAATTATTATAGAATATGCAAATTTAATTCATAAAATGTGGCTTTTACCAGAAGATCGATCGGTTGTGAGTCCATTATCATTTAAAAATACAATTGGAAAATTTGCTCCACGTTTTACTGGTTATTCGTATGTACAATTTTCTTTATATTTAAAAAGACAAATCAAGCTTTGTTTTGCTTTAGAGAACAAGATTCACAAGAATTTTTAAGATATCTTTTACAAGGTCTTAGCGAAGATGTTAATCGAGTACGACAAAAGCCAGTACCAGTTATAGTTGATGAAAAACAAGAGGAGCGAATGAGGTAAACATAAAGATTACATATATATATATATATATATATACAAGCTGCTGAATATGTAAAATTAGAGCAGAAGATATTTTATTCTTTTCTTTAAATATGTTTCGATGGACCGTGACGAGTTAATCGAGAATATGTGCTTTTTCAATTTTTTCATCTCTTTTGAATATTAAAACTGTCTGGTTCAGGTTTAGCGTGAAAAGACTGAATCTAGCAAACTTGTGTATAAATAAATATTATAGATTGAATTATTTTGCACTAAATTTGAAATTTAAAGGAAACGAAAAACTTGAATATTTATCGGTTTCTTAGAAAAAAGTAGATCATCTGAAAAAAAAATAAGAGTTTTCTACTAAAAACCCTATTCCAAATAATGAAAAAACACATATTCTTGATCAGTTCGTAAAGTTCTATCTAACCATGCATAAAGAGAAAAATAAAAACAAAACTTTTCCTTTAATTTTGCATATCTGGCACTTTCTATAGAGGAACTGAGTAACGAAAAGAACTTCTTATAAAGGAGAGTCTAGTAAAAATAATCTCGAAAGTGG